TAATACTAATAATAATAATAATAATAATAATAATAATAAAGAAAGAGAAGAAGAAGAAGATGATGAGAACTTGGAGATGGAAAATTAATGTAAGGATTAAACAATAATAATAACAAATGTCAAGGTTAGAGGTTTCACTAATGGTATATCAAACAAGTATAGTATAAACTCTTATTATTGAATTGGAAACCACACACAAAGGAGGTTCCAATCAAATTATATATTGTTAACATGATTACATTAGTTATCTTATTCAATTAATGCTAATACTTGTAAATCTCGTCAAGCATTCATGATTATAACTTATGTTAACAACAAATCAAGTTCCTTTCATAGCTCAGGTGTCGGTTATACCATACATTATGGGCTATGAAAGTGCCAAGCATTTGTTGTACCAAGTGTTATACAACATAAATCAAGATTAGTCATTTAACAAGCAACGTATTAAAGAGTGAACAAGATAACAAATATAAAACATGTTAGCATCAAACATTAAAGTCCATATTAAGTTTACATTATACTTATTCTCACACCATTAGTGTAACCTTTTCACCTTGACATAATTAACTTAGCTAGACATAATGAAAGAAAGCAAAATAAATAAACAAAATAAGAACATAAAAGCTAACTAAGTAAAGGAAAGGAAATGAAAAGCATAAGCTTAATATTAATGAAAGCAAAGCATAAACATTACAAAAAATACAAAGAGAGAAAGGAAGAGCATGATCTTGATCTGGAAACCAAGATGCCTAAATGCATGGCAAATGCCTCCTTTTATAGGCCAAAATTGGGAGATATTGATTTGATGACTAATTGATAAGTGGGTGGCCAACTTTTGACTTGGTGACAATCCTTATCTTCTCTTGTCTGCCCAAAACGTCATTGATAACGTCAAAATTGGAGCCAGTTGCAAACATGAAAGTTGTAGGCAATTGTCTCATCTTTCTTGTGTAAAAACTTCAGCTCATTTGGACTTCTAGAACTCCAGATAAAAATTGGAGCCAGTTGCAAACATGAAAGTTGTAGGCAATTGTCTCATCTTTCTTGTGTAAAACATTTAGCTCATTTGGACTTCTAGAACTCCAGATATGGCCAAAATACCGAACAGTACTCGGGCTGGAAGACAGATTCGGGCTTCTTTGTTGTTGCTACAATTTGAACTTGATAATGGCCTTTTTAGATCTTGGGCTCCATATAAAAGTTGTAGGCCTATGTCTTACCTTTCCATCCATATAAATTGGACCTAAATCTGAGATCTGTAGCTCAAGATATGACCCAATTACCGAACAGTGTTCCGGTTTGGATTGCACCGACATCTCTTTTCTAAGTTTGGCCATCTCTTTATCCTTGCAATTTAAGTTCTTCAAGTCATCAATCAATCCTTTCATTTATGTGATAGGCCTGCATTAAAAATAGACATTTACCATAAATTATAGGTATCTTATATTATTAGATACATTATTATAAAACATATTTAAGTTAAGGAGTTATTGATACTTCAAGTGCAAAATGATGATATAAAACCATAATAAAAATGCACTTTTAAGTACTAATCAGCGTGACTGAATTCAAAAGGGCTCTCTTCACGTCAAACATGTTCATACCCAAGATCAGCTTGCAAATCTGCTGACCAAACCATTATCTCAACAATGTACCGTGTTCCTCTAATCCAAGATTAGCCTCACTAATGGGAGTCTTATCTTACAAGGGCATATTAAGGAAACCCGCATCAACTCTACCAAAATCAAGCAATAGATTCCCACTAAAGTTTAGCATTCCAACTGTTACAAATCTTTCCATTTACTATATAAATTATTCTGCCAGAATTATAGCAAATGTCTATATGCAAACTTTCCATTTACTGTAAAAATTATTCTACTAGAATTATAGCAAATGTCTATATGTATTCATTACCAAAAACAGACTCTCCTCTTATATATATTTTACTCAACATTATAATGAAAATTGTGTGGCTTCTCCATCAATTTTGTGAGCAATTTTTTTATGTTTATTCCATAAATTGGTGATTACTTTTGATGTTAAAGATTGATAATTATTTGGATGCTAAAAATAAAAATAAAATTATCAATTTTAAAGGTGAGGAGTGGTGTTGATGGCATCAATGTGAAAGATGATTGAATGGTGTGTATGGTTATATGTTTTTCTAGGATATGTAATTATTTGTTTTTTAAAAAGAAAATATTTCTATTAAAGTTCAGTATGTAAGACTATTGTAAACATCAGAATTCAAATAAAACTTGATTGAACTGAAGTTTATGACAATATTGAAAAAAAAAATCATTTTCAAGAAGGTCAATTTAAGTTTTTTGGTGGAATGAATGTTTCATACTCAACTCTTAAGTGATTAATGTCTATGAACTACTTGTAATTGGTGTAAACGAAGGAGAGAGGTCAAGGTATTAAGGTTGTCAATTTTATTCTGATTGACTTTTCTTTTCGTTTCTTTTTGGAACGATACATTTCAGATCTGAAGTATTTTAGAGTGTCATTTCTAGGTCTTATATTGTGTGCATACGTGCGCGCACACACATATTAAGAAAATATCAAATATACTAAGAAAGTAGATTTCTTAATATGAAGAAGTATAAATAAAATATCTTCATCATTAACATAAAAATAATGTTTTGAAGTTTAAGTTCCTCGTGTTTATTTTCTTTTTCTAATACTGTAAATATTGTTAATTATAGCTTCATCATTATAAAATTTATTGGCATTCTAAAAACAATGTTAGTGTATGTATATATAAAAGCATCTACAACTAGAATATTGCATAAAATCAATGGAATATTTTGTTGATATTTAAACATTGATTATGTTAAAAAAAATTTACCAACAAAATCATCGATGAGCATTGGTCATCAAAAAACATATTATCGATGATTTCTATTTTGTTGATCATTCCTTCAATAATATAATCACCATGGATTTGAAGAAAGAAAAAACACGCCAAACAAAAAAAATATCAGCACCATTCCATCAGTAATTTCATTAATGATTATCGCATATCATCAATAGAAAAAACTATTTATAATTCCATTAATGATTGAATTCATATTACCAATATAATTAACCATTGAGATTCACATACTATTAGTGACAAGTCCAATATTTTTTTCAACTCTCTAAAACATTTAAAGAAACTTAGTTCATCGGTGATTCTATTTGTAATTGTTAATGGCAAAGTCTGACAATTTTTTCCTACTCTCTAGAACTTTTTTAAGGATGTAGTCTATCGGTGATTCTGTTTATAATTGTTAGTGGTAAAGTTATATAATTGTTTTCACACTTTCTAAAACTTTTCAAAGGACTTTTTCCGTCAGTAATTCCATCTGTGATTATTATTTTGTTTGTAATTCCATCAATATTGTATTTAATTTTTTTTTAAGAAATGAAATAAAAAAACATAAAAAATTAAAATAAATAAAATTAAAATAAAAAATCATATTTTATTATAAATTATTAAAATATTACTAAATACAATTTTTCTAGAGGACCGAAGACTAGGTAGGCAACAAGATAGAACACATGTAACACTAATGTTTGACAATAGCTCCTTGTAGAATTAACTAAGTAATCTCAAATCTAAGTTGGGTCGTCTCAACATTAAGCAGGGTCGTACAATTAGTTAGACAATCGGAGATTGGAAGCTCAAACCTGATTGCGAGGAAGTAATGGTCGATACATTATAGTTCATCTGCATATCATCACTTGTAGTATTTGAGATACCATAAACCTAATTTATATTGAGTTTACCGAATAATCTAGCCTCTAACCACAAATATGGATCAAGTTCTAAATAAATTGAAGGATCATCTTTGTATCTTTTGTAATCAAGTGTTAATATTTCCCAAGAAAAAACTATTACCAACTTTTTTTAAAAAAAAAAGTAATAACTTAAGAAAACAATTGTTGAAATTCAACTTACCATCAACTTTTGAGCTTGACTATCAATGAGTTATTACACTGCTTTCTGACGGTTCTCATTTCACATGTGAGTTTCAACAAAAACTCAATCGATCTTGGATCATGTCTAAGAGAAGTAGCCTGCAAAAGAAAGTTATTGTTAGTTAAATATTTTTATATAACACAATATTTTTTTTAAAAAAAAAAGTAATAACAAAATGTTACAATTTGTTTCACATACAAAATAAATAAAATGGATTTGCTGATGTGTGTGGTAATTAAACCATGAATCACCTTGTTTTGGTTATTTGTATCATATTAAAATCATCACGTGAAATGTTAAAACATAATATACTAGATATAAGCATCCTAGATAGCCCCGAGACATGCAATGGTTTGAAATCTCTGCGCATAGCCACGTTTTCCTAGCCTAGAAGACCTTTTTCTTTTGAATATTTCTTTGATTTTATTTTTTTCACCTCATATTAGAAATCATGCAACCTACATAGTAGTAGTAAATTATTGGTTAAGATAATGAAAAATAACATTTTGAATTCAATTTTACCTACTAGCATTGTGATTCTCCCACACCTTTATAGTAATAACATTGTCAGCCTTCTTCTAGTAAAATTTTTCCTTACATGTCAATTTTACAAAATAGTTAGTTCATTAAAATTAAAAAACTGATCAAATTAAAATAAAAAATTATTAATATATATACTAACATTGAATTTTTGAAATCAAACAACAATTATAGACTTTCATTTAGAATTTTTGAAAACTTGATTTCACTTAAACAAAGGCACTTTCATTTATGATTTCATTATTGATAAAATTTCATTCAATCGTTAAAACTAATTATTCAAAAATTATACATTGTTGTTTAACTTTTTATCATACAAAGAAGGAAAAAAAAAAGCTTTAATGTTGCAGTCGGGCTTCCACTGACAATTAAACTTCTGAAAATAAAATATAAAAGATAATTTAATGTTTATATGCTTGATTCAAAAACATTATTTATTCAACAAATTAGGTTGATCATCGAACTAAAATAAGTATTCTTTTAATTTAAAAAATACTTAAATTTCTTTAAGCAAGAAAGATCGAGAAAGATTAAATTAATTAGTGAAAGCATCTAATTAATTCCTTAACATCAATCAAATTTAAGACTAAAAAGCAATTTTTATATTCAATTATCAATGAAAGCTTTAAGAAAGAAAAATAATCAAGCATTTCAAGCTATCGTTAAAAGGTTTACTGAATTTTATTTGTCTTTTGTTTTTTAGGTTAAATCAACTTAATTCATTAATTTTACTTTCTTTTTATTCAAATTAATAATTACATATTGAAAAAAAAACCATATTTACCATAGAAACCATTCAAAAATTGAATGAAAACAATAAATTACATACCAAATCTATTGTTTTTGGGACAGATGTTTATCCTGGTGTAGTTAGATTTATTTCACGGTCTTCTAATTGATTGAGAGGAAAATGAACTGTGCACTGTCTTCACTTGTCACCGACACATACTCGCTCCTTGAAAAAGTAGCTTCTGCTGCTGTGATATCATGAGAAGATTTTGATGTTATTTCTTTCCCGTCACTTTACTAGAACAACCTGAACGCATTCTTGCCTTTTAATGTAAGTTTGAACTATTTTTCCAAGACGGTGATTGCCACAATCTGGTTGAAAAATAGCCACTCAGATTTGGAATGATAATGGCAGTGCTTTGTAATGCATATGCCACTGAAACATTTCTCATTGGGTGAGGGAAACGTAACAATTTTTTAGGGATTAGAAATTGTGGTACATGTATATAATGTATATACTTTTACAGCAATTCCTTGCTCGTACAGACTGTACTACTTCATCCAGAATCTCTAACGAAAGTAGCCATTCTCGGAGTGTTTTTTTCCATTACAGATTTAGGGCTGGCCCTATTTAGCCAGGTAGCTTTGCATTCGAAGTGAAAGGTGAGATTCATTACATATCGAGCTTCGCCATCAATCAATTTTGTACGAGTTCTTGCTATAACATATAGTTTTGAATATGTGGCTTTTTAGAGCCTGCTGAGTGCCATTGCATATGGCGCTCAAGTTTTTAGAATTTGGGTCTGCAAAGAGTATAATAATTGGAATTGATGGTTAATGATAAAGTTGTCTGATGTGGAGGATAATGATTAGGAATTTTTTTTATTTAGCACGCTAACAAGAAAAAAAAATTGAGAAAATAATACTTTTTATTAAAAAATATTTTTAAATCTATAAAAAAGATAATATCATTCTAAATCCTAAACCTTAAATCTATATGACCACAATAACACATGAAGTTATTATTCAGACCACATTGATGATTAAATATCATCATGTAATCCATAACTTATCAGATAACAACTTCGGTGAGAAGAGCAGTACCTGAAATGCCAGCAGTGCAATAGACAAGAGCAAAAATCATCCCACCAAACGCCCAAGCAATGCCCTGAATTCCAACCGTAGAACACTTGGTGCGGGATTTTTCCGCCCCCACCCTGATGACAATTCCCCAGGCTCAAGAAGTGGTGCTGGAGGTGGTTCTGTACAGTCCTCGACGTCTTGGTTTTGAGCAGCTGTTCCTATGGGTTGCCTCGCTATATACCTATTTGCACCCACCCTCACATCTTCTTCTACCCCCTCCATGTCCACTATATCTTTCACGATTTATGAAAAAAGAATTTGGCCTCACTTGCCTCTTATTGCTATTGTTTTAAGCCTTTTTTTATTACAGAAGTTAAGTCTATATGATCAATTGAGAAGCTCACCAGTTACGAGTAGTGAGAGTGTGGGGTATTTGTAGCTTTAGTTTAGGACGAATATTGTTTGTCCTGGTGTAGGTGAATTTATTTCATTGTCTTCTGATTAATTGAGAGGACAAAGACCTGTGCATTGTCTTCACATCCGACCGATCCATGCTACTTGAAAAAGTATTTGCAGCTTGAATTTGGGACAAATGTTTGTCCTCGTGTAGGTGAGTTTCTTTCATTGTCTTCTAATTGATTGAGAGGAAAATGAACTGTGCATTGTCTTCACTTCGCTGTCATGTCATGAAAAGATTTTGATGTCATTTCTTTCCCATGTGTAGCTTCCACTTTACTTGTACAGTTCTTTGAAATCATTATTGCCTTTTAATGAAAGTTTGAACCATTTTTACAAGATAGAGATTGCAACAATTTGGTTGAAAGTAGCCGCTCAGATTTGGAATGATAATGGTAGTGCTTAGCACTGCATATGCCAAAATTATGTTTCATTTGTATATAGTTATACACTTTAATATTTAACAATTTTATTGACAGAGAATTTTCTCTCGGCATAAGATTATTATTACATATATAAAAATTCTTTAATAAAATATAGCCGTCAGAATAACACTCATAAATAATTTTATCATCAGTCGTTAATTTTAGTAATAAAAAAATAAAAATTAATGATTTTATAAATAGAAAACACATGCCAAACAAATCTAGCTTATTTCATCCGTATTTCCTTCAAGAAAATTATCATATAACAAAAAAAAATAAACGTGTGCAATTTCATCAATGATTATTTAAAAATATCTGAAAAAAATCTATTTAACAAAACTAGAAAATAATTGAATTAAATATAAATCAACACTCCATAATACTCAAAATTGAATTGCTTGGGAAAAAAATCAACTTAGAAATTTTGCAACAAATAAATACCACAAAAAAATAAAAAAATAAAAACAACAACATTGATGTCATATGGGAAAAAAAGTCTTACAACAACATTCATACAATTATTAAAAATTAAAAATAAAATAAAAAGACAAATATAATAAAAAAAATCTTATCTTAACATAGTTACGAGTAAAGCTGAGAAGAGGAAAAAAAAACAAATTCATAAAGAACGTTACTTAAAATCTGAGAAGAGAAAAGAAAAAAAGAAGAAGAAAACATACCTAAGAGTGAAGGAGAAGAGAAGTTAAGGAGAGAAGATGAGAGAAAGAAATAAAAGGATGTTGTTTTTTTTATATAAAGGGAAGAAGGAGAAGAAAAGGAAGAAGAAGAATAGGTTCATCTGTCGTGAAATGAGGGATTTTATTTATTGAGGTATTTTATCGATAGTTTTATCAACAGAAAATTAAATATTAATATTTCTAACCATTCTATCGGTGATTCTATTTGTAATATTTAATTTAGATTTTTAATTTAATCAAAAAATTTCAGAAACCGCCAAATATCACCAACCTTTTAATCTGTCGGTGATTCTGTCTGTAATATTTAATTTAAATTTTTAATTTACCCAAAAATTTTCAGAAACCATTCAAATAACGCCAACGACTTTTCCATCCATCAATGATTTTTTTGGAAAGAACAGTATTTAACAGTGCAATTGGAAAGTGAACAGTTACGGTGCTTTCTGGAAAATATTGACGGAATGTTCTGTCAGTGATTTTTTTTGTAATTGACATGATGAACAATCTTAAGAAGAAGTGAACACTTTATCAATGATTTTACCAACGGTAATTTCGTTGATAAAAATGACATGTCATTATAATTATTTGTTTTATTTTAATTTTTTTCACACCATAATTCCCTCAATATATACCAAGAAAATATTTTCAATGGTAAAATTCATTGTAATTTACCAACGAAACTATTTCGTCAGTATTTTTATTTGTATTTATCAATTTTCTGGTAGTGATACCTGAAACATTTCTCATTGTATGAGAAAAATATAGCACTTTATTAAGAAATAGAAATTTTAAGTACATATTGTTAGGTTTCTCGAAACACATATACACAATGAAAACTGTAAATTTAAAAAAAAAATAAGAGTCTCAGGAATCTTGTTAACCATCTAGACTTGTTTAAGGTTTATGCAAAAATTACCTAAAAATCATATGTTCTTTTCGGCTTTAAATATTTGCTTTAAAGCTGAGTTATCACAAATCATAAGTCATTTAAGTTTTCAGCCACTAATAATAAGGTACACGAACTACTAGTGAGAAATATTTTAAATTCTTTAAAGAGAGAGGGATTGCTATACCTTATAGTGCTAACAATTTTATTTTTTATTTTAAGTGTTTACCTGCTGTACTTTTCTCACCTTATGAAATAAAAAACATAACCTTCTATTTATAAGGAAACATAAAAACCCTATCAATTTGCCCCTTAAATAACATCACATAAATTATTTTACGCTAATTTTAGAAATTAATTCAATCAAGTCGTTACTTGATTATTTATAGGTTTAGAATTGTAATCCCTTATATTAATTATGTTCTAGTCCTTAATCTCTAAAATTTATTTACAATAAAGTCATAATTGATTAATTATCTCATTTTAATTTTTTATCAATGGTTTTTATATGTATTACTCATTAGATTTCCTAATAGTTTGACTCAAATATAAACCACAATCCTAAATAAATAAGATTTAATCAATTAAACAAATTATTTTATTATCAATTCAATAATTAATTGATTTATATTTGAATATCAAGTACAATATCTAACAATCTGTCATCACCCACTAAATATTATAAATTCACAAGTGATTATTTTCTCAGTATAATTGTTATACCTTCATTAACAATATTTATGATTTAAATGTTATAGTATGAAGTGTATCTACTCTATCAAATTATATTTGTTCTCAACACCATAGTCATTAATTCTTTGAATAAAATTTAAAATTCTTTTCAAATCTCATTCCACCTTGAGCAAGGATTTATAATCAATACTATTTGAGAATAAATAGAACATTTTATCTAATTCACCTAGAGTGATGGATCCTCTCTTGATTATTAAATATCTTGACGTAGTTCATATTATGCTCAATATTTGCCCATTTGTTACCCAAATTGACTAATGATAACTTAGTGATCACTTACATAACCATCATATGACTCTTTCTATAGACACATATAATCTCTCCTTGTAAAATTCTCATACAGATCAGTTCAATGTAGATGTCATCTGAAAAGCATATATATAATAGTTTTAAATATCCCTCATACCTTAACTTATAAGAACAATTAATTTATTTCATAAAGAAAAAAACATAATATATATTAATCTCAATAACTCTAATTAATATTTAGTCTTAATAGAACATTAATTTAGAACATTTAAGAACAATGCTTTGCTATAATAAAAATCTTATAATTATAAAAAATCTATAAGTTTCTTTGCAGATTATTTTTTATCTCAAAGATTTTATCTTTACTCTAAATTTATTAATAAAATGCTAAATAAATATTAAAAATAAATAAATCTTTATATATATATATATATATATATATATATATATATATTACATGTGTATGA